ATTTTTAAAAATAGTTTTCTGGAAAGACATGAAGAGTCACGTGAGGCAGCAGCCTCTGTGTGGACCTGGGAGGGAGGGCTCTGATCTGTGCTGGTAGACAGGTCTGTGGGGAGTCTGGTTTGGGCAGGGATGCCTGAGGTGGAGCCTAGGGCAATGCTGGTCTCTGCTGGGTGGAGCACTCTGGTCCTGGTGGTACCTTGCATGATTTCAGACAAGGGTGTGTGCCACATTGACTGGCCATTTGATGGGCTGATGTCTTGTAATGATACCTGCAAGGAGACTGAGAATGCAGGAGGATTCACCAGCACTGCCAGACTGGCTTTCTCAATATTACTGACCGATTGGTGTTGAAGCTCTGACTCTGAAGAGGTGGAATTACCCCATTAACCCAGAGCACTGCCTCATTCTTGACCATGCTCCTGAGCTGGTGGCAATCACACACCTGCTGTGAGCATGGGGCGGGGGGCAAAGGCCTGGCTTCCCTCAGTGCAGACCATGGTGCATCACAGAGAGGAAAATCACCAGCCCTGCTGGTGGTTGTGAGACGGCAGCAAAGGGTCTCTGTGAGCCCCCTTCCACCACCTGAACCCCCTACATTTTCTGATGTATCCTTTCCTGTAATTAATTACATGTCCAGTGGGCTCATTTCTTTCATACTGTTACTGACAATCTGTTAGCTAAAGGGAAAAAAATGTGTTGGTGCCTTGTGGTATTGAAAGTGAAGGGTTTTCACACTGTCAGGGTAATGAATTCTGCATGGGTTTGAAGCACCTGAGCTTGGGGGAGTCCTTGTGTCATGTGTCTGGGAGTGACAACCCCCAGTGGTTAATTACTGCCATGGATGAGAGCTGAGCTGATAGCAAAATGAGATAATTTCATTAGTAGTTAAATTTGAAGTTAATTGGATTCACGTTTACACACAGTAGTGTACAAAGACACACTTGAAAATGCTCTTTGCCACCTCTTGAATTTTTTTAAAGAGGGTAGATGAATTGAGGAATGCTTCTAAACTGCTCCCTCTTTTTTTTGCGTTGTGGTTGTGAGACAGGAGAGTCCTTTGCTGCTGCAGGCTGCTCTCTGCTCCAGACATTTTGTCCTGCAGCAGGGACATTTGCTGATGCCCAAGAGCTGCTTGCCTCATCTCTGCAGGGGTTGCTGCTAAGCTCTCCTGTAGCAGGTGGCAATATTTCTTTTACAGAAGAAAATTCCTTATTTACACTTTCTTTGCAAAATGATAATTTGCTTTCATTGTGAGTGTTGCCAGCTCCTAGTGAATGGAGGGATGGACATTTATGGACTATCTTCTGTGTGCAGATCCTTTGACATATACAGGGGCATCTGTAGCAGAGGTGTTTGATCCACTCCTCACAATGACAATACTGGTGCTCCCCCTAAGACATTTCACCTCTGGAAGTCAGATGAGTGATGGGTCAGCACTGCCTTGGAGGTATTTGCCAGGAACCTGAAGGAGCCTGGTGAAGCAGTCTGGAGGAGGTGATTGGATAAAGGAGATGGCAGGGTCCAGCTGAATGAGCACTAGAGCTGCTGTGTGCTCGTTCTGTCGTGGAGGTGTGCTGGTTTCAGGGCAGGAGACATCATTGAAGGTACCGATGCTGCTTGGGCCATCAGTCTCTCCATGGGGAGGCCACTGTAAGAAGGACTCAGAAAGGTGTTTTGGTACTTGGAGCTTAAAATTGTTGGCAGAAGTTGTTGGAAAAAGGTTGTTGGTTACATTAGAAAATTCTGCTATGCTCTGCTCTAGTTGAACTTCTCTATAGGCTGGAGCTGGCAGCTGAGCTGCTCTGTCCTGCACAACACCAGCCCAGCAATACAAGGAGGTTGCTCTGTCCACAGCTGCTTCTGCCCCATTTCTAACTTTAGGTGTCTAAAATAACCTTCAAAAATCACAGGACAAAGACATTAAGGAAAAAATGTGTCCTGAAGGACCTAGGTTCCTATGCCTGTGTTTCCTACTGCTAAAATGTAGATGTTAGTTTCCTCTTGAGTGCTTTGCTTGCATGAGTAAGGCAGGAACACCCTGGAGCAGAGGCTCCTTCATAACCTCTCTTTCTACTGAGTGGAGTAGTGTTTTTCTCTTGAATCAATTGTTTTCGTGCAGTTGAAGCTTGCCAGAACTGGGGCCTCTCAGGCCCTCCCTGAGACTTGCCTGTGGGGACTCTACAAGGAAGATTTGTTGATAGATGACAGAACATTCCATTTGGAAATGGGATGTAATGGAAACTAGCCCAGACCTGTGGAATAGATCATGGGTGATGTTTTCTTTATTGACTGAGGAGCAGAGGTCCTACTTGTCATACTGTTGGTCATGGTGGTTACCTTGCTCAGTGCCCTTGACAATGATCCTAATCATTCTGGGTGTGGCAATGGCTTTGGAGAAAGCGAAGAATTTGTAATATTTCAAGATGCTGTAGTAAATGTCAAGGTTTTTATGATAGCTGTAGAAAGTGAGGAGTGGTGTGTAGTCAGTGTGGGCCAGTTTGGGAGGGTGAGTTTTCCCACAGGTCAAGGCACCTTTGGGGCATGCCATGTTGTGCCATTCTGTGGTGACACCATACAACCAAGGAAGGGACGAGTCCTGATTTCCCTCCTGGGTCTCCGGAGGGCTCCTAGGTGGCAGCAGTCAGCCTGTGAAATGTTCGTCTGCATTAGGGACAGCCGTTAGCTGCGTCCCTGCTAGCACTGGGGGTGAACTTAGCTTCTGAGACTGACTTTATGTAGGCTGCAGATACTTCTGTAATCTCCAGACTGTAGAGGTGACATAAAGCATTTAATTTTGTGTGGGAGAGAAGGAAGCAGGGCATTGATGAGGGGAGAACATTTTAATCTAGAATAACCATTTTCTGCCTGCACTGAATAATTAGAATTCATTATGCCCTTCCGTAAGGGATGTGACTTCGCCCTAGCACTGGAGAGCAAATTAATCAAAATTGTTTTGAACCTTAAATTCTTTTAGGATGTGAATGCACCAGAATGCATTCTGTAGGAAAGGCCTGAGAGGAACAGCTTGCATCCTGATTTGTGGATACTGAGTGTGGAGGAAAGTGGGGCATGTGCTAAGAGATCACTGCAGTGATGCTGGAGTTTTGGCATATACCCCTTCATCTGAGGGTAGGGGGAGGCAGTCTTTATGGCCATGATCCAGAGATTGTGAACCACAATTTGCAATTACTTGTATGCCTGTCTCTTGTCTCATCTGATGAAATCTCATTTATTAAAATAGATCGAAAAAAGGAAGATTTAAAAGTTTTATTTTTGGATCAGTTAAAAATTAAATTTGGGCTCAAAATCTTTACCAAACAAAAAACTTTAAAAAAATTGTTTTGGCTTTTTGTAAAGCTTTTCAGTTTCAATATCTCCAAGCTCTACAGGCTTGAAAAAAGTAAACTGTATTAAAAACAATTGCCTAGAGAACATGATGTAAAAAACCAGAATCAGTGCATTTTTTCTTGTCAGTGGTGCTAAAATCAACAAAGTCATGTAACTTTTGCTGATCCAACATGCTACCTTTTAAGGAAGGATCCTGATTTTTGCTAATGAGCTGTTTTGGGCCAACAGGATCTTGGAGTTGACTGGTGCCAGAGTGATCCCTGTCCTGTAGAGGCTGGAAGAGCAGAAGGGCCAGGTGCTTCAGGCAGCCCAGAGTCCCTTCCTCATAACTGAGGTGCACACTCAGCTTTTCAGAGCTAAGGTCTCATGCAGTGCTACTGTCTCTAGCTGTGGTTTGGATCTGATGAACCCCTCATTTTTTCCTGGCCTTGGAGGAACCACTTGACAGGCTGGAAGAGCCAGAGGGCAAATCTGAGGGGCAAACTAAAGTGGTACCTGATGCTCACACTGGGAGGAGATTGCAGAGCCTACATCCAGCTGCTGACCAAGCCATGGTGTTAAAGGGTCAATGCTACCAATGTGTGTGTCTTGAAAGCAACTTCTCCTTGGCAAAGTGTTCTGCCCAAGGATGCCATGGGAGCCCAGAAGACCATGAGTGGGCTCCAGGATTTCCTCTCGGGTGAGGGATGGATCCTGACTGATGAGATCATAGGAGTATGGTTTTCTTCTGGAGGGTGTCTTGTGGCCACAGCTGACAGTGGTCTACCCAAAATCCCACTGCAGCAGCCTGAAGGGATGGTGACTATTCCAGAATCTCCACATGGGAGCAGGGTCCAGACATGACTGAGGAAACACTTCTGTAGCATTATGTGAGCAATGTTACCTGACCTCTTGTCTTTACACTGCCAACAGAAACATGTCCTTGAAGGTGATAGGAGATGTGTCTGGGAGAAGATGAAGGAAGAGAGGGTACCCCAGACCCCAGGTCCAGGGGCAGAGGGAAATGGAAGACATCCCACTGCCTGCTTTTCTGGGAGGTCCTGTGGGTACTTGACTAAAACCCATACTTCTGTGGCTAAGGAAAGAGCAGTGCATCAGGCTGTGTTTGCAAATCTGATTCTTCTTCTGGCACTGTGACAAACTATATTTTAAAGCACCTTCATGTCTCAATGCCATGTTTTTGCTTTATTTTTTTATTTTTTACTGCTTTAATAAGAGATAAAACGAATGCCCTGCATTGTATTTAGATCTCAAACAGTTTCAGCCTGTGCATGTGATTTTCTAGGGAGTTTTCTGGCAAAATGTCATTAAGTTCTGTGTTATTTCCCATTTCACTGCTTTTGACTTTACAAATCTAAGCTTTAGAGGAATTTGGGAATAGGGGTGAGCAGCTGGAGTTCAGGCGGGTCTGTTCCTCTCCCTGCAGAGCTCTGCTCTTCACCTTCCAGTCTCGCACTTCATTGGAGCTTTGTGGCAGCTTATAGAGAAAACAAAACTGTGCCTGCCCTCCCTGCCAGGCTGGAAATCCCATGCTGGTCCTCACAGAGCAGTGATGACAAATGCATGGCTGTGTTCTGGGTGCTTGGGGAGATGTAAAACCATGTCTGCTTGTCGCAATGCTCACGTGGTGATTTGTTGGTTTGATTCCTCAGGTCGCGAGCTGGCAAGTACAACCCTCCCAGGATACCCTCCACATGTCCCTCCTGCTGGACAGGGCAGCTACTCCGCTCCGGCGCTGACAGGAATGGTGCCTGGTGAGTCTTCAGAGTAGGTGGGAAGGAAAACATGAAAGGAAAACAAATAGCATTTCAGGAGAGAAACACTGTGTGCTGTAAATGTTCTGCCAGGTAGAAGCCACAGTGCTGAAGGGTAGGTGTGGAGTGATCCTGAGTGAAGTAGGACCAGGCTCCCCAGAACAGGAGGCTGCATAATCTGCAGAGTGCCAAAGCAAAGTGTTGGCACTGAAATGCTGAAGGAGCTCCCAGCCTCCCTTCTGTGGAGCCTGGAGATTGCTCCATACTGGGCTGTGTCAGGCTCTACTCACCTGACTCCAGCTTTGCTCTAACTCACCTTGTTTCTTCCAACCTTGTCCCTCTGTGCTGCTCCAGCAGTGAGGTCATTGGCCCTGGGGGCTGGACATGTCCTGGCCTCAGACTTCCTGCCTGACTCATGGGTACACTGGGTTGTTCCCAGGACACTATACTTCTGTAATTTCTTTCCCATTTTGGAACCTCACAGTCAGAAATGCCAGGTGTCATGAGCCAGCTGGTGGCTACTACTTGCCTGTGTAGCAGCAGAAGCTAAGGTTGTGCAGGTGACTGGGGTGGGCAGAGTAGGTTCTGCAGGTATGTCACAACACTGATGCCAGCCTTCAGCGCTGTTAGCTGCAGATCTGCACACAGTTCAGAGTAGGATGGGGACTTCTGGGTACTGGCAGCAAGGAGTGGTGGGGCACAGTACTCCTGAATTTTTTCTGGGGAATTACCACTTCTTTGGGAGCAGCTGCAAGGGTGGATTGGCAGAGCTGCAGGATGTGGGGCTTAATGGTGCTCAGCCAGAGGAGGTGCACTGTGAGGTTCAGTGATGTAGTCATCTGAGCCGATTTTCCCAGGTAATAGATTTTATTTTTAACTACATATAGGCTTGTGTGACCCATTATATTGAATAACTGCACTGTTCCTCTCACTGGTTCCTTTAATAACAACCTTCTGCTCTAGCTAGTGTGAAGGTCAGCTGCAATTCCTGTAGGTTCTTCGTCTCATTTAAGTGAGAATTTGCTAACTAGCATCCAAAATGCCTTCTCAATCCTTCTTTGACTCCTTTGTAGGACCAGCTTTAGAGCCTTGCTAGGGTAAGCACCACAGTCCCTGAGCGGTTGACAGTAAGGCAAGTGACAGACCTAGTCTGCTACCATTGACACATCCCTGCTTGTTCTAAAATGGCCAAATTGTCATGCCTGAGCACAGGCATGTGTTTATTGTGCCAGCTCTCAGGAATTTATCTCACGACCTGTCTATGCCTTGTTCTAGTTTTTGGAGCCTTTGCTAGAAATGTGCTTCCTTGATAAGATTTTTAATCATTAGCCATGAATTTCTGCTTGTAATTAAGCAATTGTGTGAGTTAAGTGGTTAGAGACATGGGAGAAATGTATACATGATAACACACAAGCAGTGTTTTGTTGCATGCTTGTTGCTACTGCCATTGTCCCTGCTGATAGGAGTAAACCCAGCCCTTAGCACACTGGGTGTTTGTCCCACACCTGCTGAGGTCTGTAGATTGCCTATGGGGCACGGGAAATGTTCACACTTCCTGCATTTGCAAGATGTGCAGATCCAGCTTCATGTTCTGTCCTTATCTCTTCTCCAGCTCCCTCACCACTGCTCATCCTAACAGGAGCACTTTTTCCCCCTGTTAGACTCAGGTCCTTCCTTATCTCTCCCAGAGGCAAGGAGATACACAGGAACCTGTCTCTGCTGCGTCTCCATGACTTGTTCAAACACATGCTCAAAATTTCACATTTCCTTCCTTTCCTGCAAAACAAGGGACTTGCATATCAGCAGTGAATTTCCATTTTTATGTGTCTTGTCTGCTATGGCAAAGAATAATCTATTCAAATGCTTTTCTCTGAAGGAACCAAACAAGCAAACACGTGGTTTGATTTCAGTCCGACACTTTAGGGACTGACAGCTGGCATTGCTTGAGGCTCCCATGAATGTGTTTCTTCTGCAGGCCATTGGCCCTGTGAGCTCCTCCTGCCTTTTGCTGCAGAATTGACTGGTGTAGAATTGACCGGAGGGGAGCTGTCTGGGCTGTGCTGAGGTGCTAAACATCCACAGTGCTCTCATGTCACAGGGCACAAGTTAAATGCCATCGTGGGGACAGATGGGTAGACAGGTGGGAAAACAACAGTCTGGGTGGTCAGGCTCAGAGGTAGTGCCTAATGCCACACTCCAGCTGGCTGCTGGTACCACACATAGAACTGCAGGGCACAGGTAGAGGTCTCTCTTGGTTCACAACTTCCACAACAAGAAGACAGCCCAGCTTATCAGGTGTTCAGAGGATGCTAACCTGCATGATGCCATCAGTAGGCTCCAGAGCAGGACACTCATGTGGAGGCATGTAGACAGGATGAGCTGGAGCATGAAACCCAGCAAGGGCAAACCAAAAGCTCCTGCACCAGGAAAAGGACCACTTTGACACAAAACGGGCTGAAGACTGTTCAGTTCCTGAAGCGGTTCCAGGGATGAGGCAGACTGAGAGCTGAACATCAGTCTGCCATCTGCACTTGTGATGAGAATGGTCAGCTCCTGGGCAGGAACTGGAGGGAAGGAGTTATGCCCCCTCACTTGGAACCTATTGTCTCACAATGGAAATAGTCCTGGTTTGGGCCCCCTTAATGCAAAGAAATAATTGGTGTAAGCCAGAACAAGCAAGATGTAACTGGGTACGACAAAAGTCTCCAAACTTTCCCCACAGGAGATGGGCCCAGTGGTGAAACAGGTTGCTGAGGGGTTGTGCTGTCCCCATGGTTGAGGGTTTTCAAGGCCATGTTGTGTGAAGCCCTGAGTATTCTGCCCTGGTCTTATTGCTGATCCTGCACTGAGAAGGCCCTTGAGACATCCTGAAGACCTTTCCATCCTGAAATGGCTGGTCATTCCATGACTCAGTGTTTCAACTGAGGTGCTGCTGGAATTGTGCTGCAGAAATTCATATGCTTCTACCTGATACTATGAGTAGGGATGGAGGAAGCTGTTAACAGAGGGAGATCAAGCCCCTCACTGTAAAGGAATGGTGCCAGCAGTCCATGCAGAAGAAATACTTCTGCTCTAGACCCCAGTTACCATTAAATGACTTGAACCATGAATCCAGTTTGAGGCTGGAGGGAGACCTATAGACATCTTTTCTGTCATAGGGAAGATCCTAATGTCTGCACAAGGACTGGAAAAAATCGCTTTCCACAATCCTCTTCCATCCTGTGACCACAGTCTCATGCTGCAGCAGTCCAATGGCACCTTCTTCCAGCCCCTGGCTTGGCATTCTGTTTGCCTGTGCTCTGTGTCCCATGCCTGACTCACCTTTTTCTCCAGGAGACTATTAATGACAGGAGAAGGCAGGTAGACCCAATATAAGATTGGTGACTATTGAAAATTATTCCTGGATGTGCTGGCAGCAGGTATTAACATTGACTGTATCATGTGGTATGTCATGGGATCCTAGGAACAGCCACCAACCTCACCTGGGGAAGTGGACATAGCAGCACCTGGAGCAGCTTGCACAGAATGAACACTTCTCTTTAACCTTTATTGTCTGATGGCTGATTCCTTGAAGCATGGAAGTTTATATTCCTTGTAAATGTTAATTTTGTCTAGTGCAGCTCTCTGTATATTTTCATTATCTGTTTAGAGCTTTAATCCACTGTTGGATCCTACTAGATTTGTAGCCTCAGCATCATCTCAGGGCATAGGATTACTGAGATACTGTATGCAGAAATTATATATACCAGAAATTATCCCAAATAATTTGGTACTGTTACTATTTGTTCACACTGTGGCTGTGCTGCTAAGGTGCTTTTGCTTTGGAAACATGGAGCAGTGTTTTCCCGGCAGCCTTTCCTTTCTGGGGGAAAATGTCTGGGGAAGAGCAGGCAGGAGCAAACTGCATCTTCTCCACCCTGTCATGTACTCAAAATGTGAAGCCTTGTGCCACCTGGCTGTGCTTGTTCCATTACAGAGATGTGGTCCTGGGACTGTTGGCATCTTTGGATGGAGATGGTGCTGTCTTCTGCTTGCATTTTCTGCCTTCTGTGCTCCATTTGCTTCCTCACACTTTGCTTTGGGAGCTCAGCAGAAGCAAGCTGGGTGCACACTGGGAAATGCAATATTTGCAGGGGTTTTACTCTGTGTCTAGTGTGGGGGGCTCAGAGCCCTTTCCTGAGGTGATGTCCTGGTTTAGTGTTTGAACAGAAGTGCAGCTTCTGAAGCAGCTGTTGGCTGGTCACAGAGACCATACAATTGTCCTATTTCCCTGACCTCTGGAAGACTGGGCCTTCTCTCCAGTGCTATTCCTCCTCCTTCATGGGCTCTGCTGCCCTGCTAACTGGAGCTGGCATGGTGACAGGGATCAGTGCTGCTTGCCTAGGGTCTTTTCTTGATCTTTTGTAGCTTCACAAACCACCAGCCTGTTTCCAGTACTGGCTTAAATCTCTCTTCACGGCTCACTGCTTGTGTCCATGGGTCTTCTCCCAAGGTGTATCTGAAGGTCAGAGTTCTCCCATGTGTGGGGCAGATGGTGGCCAGCAGTAAGGGGAAAGAGGGGAAATATGAGGAGTGGTGCAAGAGCTAAAGTATGTGTGCCTGCTCTAAGCAAACCATACCAGAAGCTGTGTCTCATTTGAGTCTGGACAGTGCTGAGGCAGAAGGGTTTGCCACAATTTCATTGCTGAGACAGGGGTTGGGACAAACCACACCTGTGTCCACATGCCTAAGTGTGCTCTTGCCATCATGCTATGATGCTGCAGCTGAGCTGGACACAGGTCATATGCAAGTAGCCATGATAACTCGCCTAAATCCTTATTCCAGTTCTTGTGATAGAAGTGCTGTTTCCCCTCAGTTTCTGTCCCCTCTCCGCATTCCTGGGGCTCCAGGGTTGAAGCCCCTGCTCTGCCACCCCCTTTCCCCTTTCCCAGGGCTGCTGTTCACCCCATCCCCTCCTCTCCTGGCAGGCTCTGCATGCTGGGTGACAGGAAAGGGTAGAC